GGACTCACACGAGGACCTTCGGATAAAAGAGCAAAGGAACTGTTGAAGCTCAAAAGGAACCAGCTACAATGGGTGGTAGGACTACTTACAGGACACTGTCACCTCAAAGGACACCTGTTCAAACTGGGACTAAGTGATAGTCCCACTTGTGAGAGGTGTCAGATAGAAAATGAAACAGCCACACACGTCCTGTGTGAATGTGAGGCTTTAGCTTCTTTAAGACTATGTCACTTGGGTCAGTACTTTATGGAACCAAGTGCCTATTTCGACGCCCCCACGTCCAAAATCCTGTGCTTCATCCGAAGTGTGGGGTTACTGAGGAATAATTAAAAAAAAGGGAAGCACAATGGGCCACTGAGGTCTAAGTGCAAGGGCTGAGCAGGCCTACCCTTTCATACATACATACATGCCAAGGACCCTGAGAGCTATACCAGCGGTATCATAGCTACTGGCAGGGCCTCCCTTGCTGGACAGTTCAAAGGGTAGGCATCAGACGAAGAGAGACACCTAAAACTGATGCCGGAAGCAGCGTCATCAGCAGCGACTTGAAGCACAGAGCAAATGATGCTCAAGATGGTTCAAGTTCGTATAGCAACAGGCGTGACCAGAGTGGTTTGAACGGCTGTTGTACTGCGATGTGGAAAGCAAATGGAAAAACTACCACATTATCACTTTTCCTGGATAGTCTCTTTAAAAAAAAGAGATACCATGTATGCGAGATGTTTCCTCTGGAGACAAAGAAACTGGAGGGGTAGATAAACGTGCCCAAAACACGAGGAAGAAGACCGAAGAAGATATTTTAATTGATGGAGAAAGCTTGAGATCGCAGTAAGTGGAAGAACTGTTTTGGAAGAGACTGTGGACCTGTCTGACAGATTACTGATGAATGAATGAATTTTGGAAGTTTTCATGCATAAATGCATACATATTTAAGGGATTAGGGCATAAAAATCCGGTCCCTACTGATTATACACATTATGTTGGTGGAAAATGGCAGTGAACTAACTCCAAAAGAAGCAGACTGCACTGATATGCCATCAAAACAGGTTCCAGACCAGATGAATACTGTAATCAATTCTACAAGAGACATCCTGTGCCGCACAGAAGAGATGCAATATATGGATGCTAAACATGGCATTACTTTTTTCAGTTACAAACATATCACCCCCACAAGAAGAGCTGCCCTATATATATATACTTCATGCTACAATATTATTGTCTATTAAAAACCACTGATTGTGCTGTCTATCGGCCATTTCTTAAAAAAATCAATGCATCAGGTGGAGGAACATAAGATATACTACTGTGACTGCAAATAATCAGCCTGAGGAAAAGTATGTACCAATGATGAATCAATGAAGTCAGCACAGCACATACTTGAGACAAAATTCAAGTCTGCTCAGCTTTGGTAGAAATTCACAAAAACTAAACATGACATAAAATCACCTTTCACTTACATGATAGTGGTTATAATGAATGAAGTCGCCAGGTCAGGCAACACTTACAGACATACTCAAGTAGGATGTGCAGATTTGTCAGCGCCTACCAAATCGTGCATTTCCAAAACACCTACCTACCAACCAAAGTTAACAGTTTGCACACAAGCGAGACACCCTGACAGCAGTTTTCTTGTCAATAAATAAAATACTTCTGGCTTATATATTTATTTTTCTTCAAACTTTTATTAGAAAAATAATTTCATTAGCAAAATCACTCCAGTCCCCTCCCCCCCCCCCCCCCCCCCCCCTCCTTCCCCATCAAAACCACACACAACAAACACAAACACNCCCCCCCCCTCCCTCAACCATTTGGTCAGTAAAAAGTAGCACCTGAGTGGAGTGAAAACTGCATTGTCACCGGTATCAAACAGGGTTCCCACACTCTCAGCCTCTTGAAGAGAAAAATATAAACAGGAATAAAAGACTGTACACTTATAATATACAATTCTAAACTGGATAATAACTTGCTGCTGCATGTAAACACCACTAGATGGAACTCAAACCTAATTCATATATTCTGAACACTGCCAGGAAGAGAAACATCTGGAGCCAGTTACAAATCACTGATTCTGTTTGATCTGTGAAGCAGGAACTAAGCAAGAACTTCTACCAGATTTGTTTGTGGACAGACACAAACTATTACTATGCATTTGTACAGAGATGCAGTGAAGACTAGGCCTTCATTTTGTACTGTCAGTGTGGCGATTACAAGGAAATGAACACATTGCAAAGCAATGCTGCTTAGACTGAAAACAAGTTGTCTTCAAAACTAACCATTAGTAGGACTGCAGATTTATTATTATGCATGACAGGCCCAATATAATGGCATTTCTAGGCTTTGTGGGGGACAATGTTGGAAAGGTCTTTTCAACAATATTTAAATTAAGTACAAAAAATAATAAAAACACTTCTTTTCACAAATATACACACAACATACAACTGATGACTTATGCCTGTTTTCAAGTCACTTATTGTGCTTTCTAGACGTTGATATGGCTGGCATATTTTCTAGCTGCAATGCCCACAGTGCAATCCATATTGCTTTCCAGGAGATTCAGGGGGCAGCACGTCACCACACACACAATGTGCTGCACTTTTGACTAGGCACAATATGGCATTACACACTGTTACACCTCTGGGGGAGGGGGTGAGAAAATATTACTACTTTAGTCCGTCGCTACTTTTTTTGCTAGAATCTTCGCTGCACTCGGCTGCCGTCGGCTGTCTTGGTTATGGTCGCTCGGGATCGGTCATGGACGGGGTTGGTTATGAAGGGGTGAATCAAAACTCCCTGCATGCATCCTATCCTATGTACACTGGTCTATTTACACTGATATTTACATCAAAAGGGCTGCCTTCGGCCTGTTTACATAACACCTTCTCGCTACTCTCTTTCTAATTTCCCTCTTGGGGGGAGGTACCGTGAGACTGTTGCTTCCCTCATTGCCTGTCACTCTCTACACAATTTCTACCCTATTCTACCCTGGCTCTCGCTGGGGTACACTGGAGACTGTACTTGAGATCACACAACAACACTTTTATCAACACTAATGTTTAACAGCATGGCTTATATGAGCAAAGAGACTTACTTGCAATAGAAATGCAGATAAATGTCGCCATCCACCATCTCGTGGCACCCATATCGGATAGAGCCTCCGGCTGACAACTATTTATTACGTAATGTAAGATTTGAGGCTTTCACGGCGGTGACTATGAAGAAAGCAGTCTTCTGGGATTTGGCACCGTGTATATGTGGTGTTAACCGACGTTTCGGAGGAACGTATCGCCCCCATCTTCAGGGTAGAAGAAAAAGTATAAGAAATCTGCAAGCAACAACACCGTGAGAACCGTGAGTCTGCTTTACCGTTTCTCACGGTGTTGTCGCTTGCAGATTTCTTATACTTTTTCTTCTACCCTGAAGATGGGGGCGATACGTTCCTCCGAAACGTCGGTTAACACCACATATACATGGTGCCAAATCCCAGAAGACTGCTTTCTTCAACTGGTTATTACGTTTGAGATCAGATCCCTATGTCTCCTGAATTCAGTAATTTATATCTTTAACTTGCTGACTCTGCGGTTGACGAAAGAGGGAGGTTAACTCCTCCTTTCGTCCTCAATTTCAGGGTGGAGGGTTTCCATTGGCTACCCTTTGGCTGTGGGTCGGCCCGTGGTCCTCTTTGCTGCTTATTTAATAATATTATCCTTTACTCCAGTGTACCTACAACGCGACTTGCAGAAGTGCTATTGCGCATTCTGCTAAATCAGGCATTCTTAACCTAGATTGCATGTCCAGGTGTTGACATACTAATGTAATTGCTGTAAAACGTTTGTCGCAAGTCTTGGAACATTTAAACAATGCATTTTCACTTCTAGCCTCAAATTGCGGTGCAACACACACACACACTTCAAGGATCATTGCTGCCGCCTGCAACAACCAATCTGTCCACTCTGTAAGGAGGCTGTACCACATCATTGTCTGTCAACACTCGTGTCCTGTTGGGCACCATAACCTCACCACATCCCATGAGCCAGTGTACACACACTTTGTGCTAAGAGTCGCTTACATGTTGCGATGCCCAACCCCCACGCCAGCCTCAGAACTTGCAGATCAACCACAAAGATACTGAGGAGTGAGACTAGAAAAAAAAAACCACTATTGGTCATTCAGCACTTTTACGAGGAAGGAAAACCTGGCAAGTTAACTCTCACTTCTCAAAGTTCAAATCAGTTTCACAATCACAATGTACAGCTGTACTCGTACAGCTGGTGGATCATAGTCTCTTGGCAAATGAACCTGTAAGCATTCTTGAAATACAGTCTAATGTGATATATTCTTAAATTTGTAAATAGTCATTCTAATCCTGTTTTACTGATAAAACTTCTTGTGTTTACTAGGTCACATGAACACTTTAATAACCCAGCTTATGGTTTCTCACGGGCCTCGCCATAGCTCAAGCGGTTAGTTGTTGGCTTCCCATCGTGGTGGCCTGGGTTCGATCCCAGGTCTGGTCAAGTGGGATTTGTGTTGGACAAAGTGGCGCTGGGGCAGGTTTTCTCTGAGTACTTCGGTTTTCCTGCCAATCTTCATTGCACCAATTGCTCCACAATCACCCTCACCTATCATCTGGGGCTGCTACAACAGGCCAGAAGTGGCCGCAGTGCAAGGGACTTAGTCCCACCCCAATAGGAATAAAAAAAAAACAATATTTTTTCTCACAATTGAATGTATGGCCCTAAATGACAATAAAATAAATTATATAGGATTAATGAAAAATATTTCACCAAACTTTGGGATATGGTTCCATACACCAAAACAATGAAAAAAGTCTACACAAGAAGCTATAGCCCTTTTGAATTTCAGGTATGAAGACAACATCCTTACTAGGATACCTTTTCCTTCTTTCTGTTTACAAATGTGCTGTCTGGCCCCATGCAAAGACAGTCACAAGTCAGTGTGCATCTTGTATTGTGCAAATGTGCTGTCTGGTCCCTTGCAAAGGCAGTCACAAGTCAGTGTGCATCTTGTATTGTGCAAGGGCATTGACCAGACATTCCATGATTGGACTGGTGCAACAATCAAACTGTGCTGTTTTGGTGGAAACGGCAAATAATTACATGAATGCAAAAATGGCAGGCATGCACATGTATTGTTTAGCCAAGTAAGAGAAGCACGCTATCTCCATCAAGAACAGCACACTGACCACACATTCCTGGAAAGGAGTATATATGTGTCAGGATTCATCAGCATCTCAGAGTGGAGTTAGGCCACAATCAGTCAGTACTCGATTTGGAGGAAAGGGTGTTATGCTGTGTGAAAGAGGAACCAGAACTAGTACAAGAAATGCAGCTGAGGACAGTCTCCCAAAATAAAGATGTGCAAATATTATATAAACAGCTACTGTATCTGTAACTTCTTCAAGGAGGTCAAGGCTTTATACTCATTAACTATCCCAGAAGGGCTCTATCAGGCATGGAATTTGAAAAAATATGCACAACCAATCCAAACTTCCTATCTGACATTAACTTGTAACTACAAGTAATTATAACACTTGCTAATCTACACATTCTCCAAGTCACTGTACTGCAGCACACATTAGACCTCGTATGTCTTCACCAGGCGTTGCTTGATTATGGTTCCCAACAGTGGACACTCCTATGCTTCAGTCCTCATGTCCTTGCCAGATGGTGACTTCTGACAGCTAACTCATTGCCCCAACTGTTGCCTCTAAACTGCAACTAACTCCAAGTTATCCTTCTATAACTTCAGTATCGACTGCGCAGAAAACATGGTTTCCCATACTGACTGGATCGATGCAGCAACTGTTTAAAAATGGACTAGGTATTGTTAACGTTTTTATCAACTGTTGGCTAGTGATGTCATGTCACAGTATGGAATCATGTGTGGTTCATGCATGATAGGGTTCCAGTTAATTTTCTTGTTCATGTTACACAGCGCCTATCAAGTCTCCAAAGAAAAGTAAATTGGAAGAAGCGGGCCAGTACCAGAGTCCTCACACTAAACACGTCAATCTGATGGTCCACTTCTTTTTGTGGCGTTATCTGAAATGTTCAGTTGAACTTCTGTCAGTCCATGACATAAAAGTTACAACCGCATATGGAGAAAGCTTGTGAAACATTCAGACACAAGGCACTAATTTTTTTGTCCATGAGGCACTGTGCCAAGATCTGTGTGCAGGTGGGTGGACAGCATACCGAACACTCACTACTCTGATATATTAGGAGTAATTTAAGATATGCTAGCCAGGCTGTTGTCCTAGAATGTTCTAAGATTCATAAAACTTTCCTGACTGTTTCACTATGTGTTGCCATACCCCTACATCTGGTAAACACTTCTTGTTCACCTAGTATAATGTGAAATGAAAGGAGACAAAATGTGAACATTTTCATGCACTTTGGTAAGGCTAGAAGTTCAGTTCCTGCTTGGCCAAGTGACCTATACACATGCACATGAGCAGCAGCTCCATAACAATAAAAATGTGCTAAGATGTTAAGGTACCATCTTATTTGTGGTTCATTAACAAGGCTGGCTGTATTTAGACTATACAGTGACTAATAATGGGATCACTTAATGAGTAGTAAATTTGGAAGAATGTGAAAGAAAATGACTGTGGCCTCATTTAAGGTAATATAGCATTCTACCATTTTCCAAGAAAGTATGAGGAACACAACGAAAAACCTGTCAGGAGAGCTGGTAGCTGAGATCTTAACTGCTCACCCCCAAATACAAGTAACAAGGCTGTTTTTTCCAACCCACTTGACTAGCCACAAGGGGGAAGGGAGGGGAGACACACAAAGTGTACATCCATGGAACTTACCTGTCTTGCACGATGCAGGGCCTGCCGCCTGTACAAGAGGTTCTCCCTGTTTACCATGAACACCATGTGGTAGGCACTGATATTGAAACGACATTGGGTGTTGTCTGCTGCCACTACTGCCATGCCATTACCTGTCACATTATTCGGTCGACAATTTGAGCCATGCTCTTCACCCACTCCACCTTCACTTGTCCGTTCATCCTCAGAACTGGAAAGAAAAAAAAATCAGCGTCACAAAATTAAATGAAGATTCCATGTTAAATTCTCCACAAAGCCTAAATTTTTACGGCCCTTTTGTTCCCTTTTTACTGCATCTAACATTTAATCTTAACTTGGGGCCCACAAGAACTAATCCAACACAAATCTTAGATGTGAACTTTCATGAATGTAACCACAAAAACATAGAAGGCTAAACACACACAAGCCTTATAACTTCATAAAGTGTTATGTGCTTATACTGATGCTCAAGAAGAAACTAGCATAAAAGTACACAGCGTGTGAAAAACGCATTCACATTAGTAACATATTTTCTGTCTGCCCCAGATACCCCTGGCAATGTCACTCTGAACTCAAGTCAGGCCTGGAGGCTTCCATCATTAACCCACTTCAGCCTTCAGTGCCTTTACCATTGCATTTGGGTCATTCCATGTGAAGTCATCCAGAGAGGTCGCTCGCCATTTTTTAAAAAATTTGTATTTTGTATACTTATTTCTAAATATTTTCACACTTCAAAAATATTTACAAAAAAACTGTAATCCGCTCGGTTCTCCCAGTACAGCCGTTTTTATAATGCAAAAAAAAAAACGCGTTTTCGGCTCAAATGGAGGTTTGCGTTATCTCCCATTTCTCAATAACTGTTGAAGTTAGAGACGCAGATTGTAAACCAATTTGTTTCTCATGATATGGACGACAAATCATATCATTATAAGTTTTTACTCAACTCACTTCCTCTAGGTGTAATTAAACTTGAAACTTGCCGATCTATTTTGGGAAAAACGCTATTTTTGACATTCAGAAACCAATGGGAGGGGGAAAGTACCAGATCTGTGGTTTCTACCCTTTGTTCTTACCTACATGAGGAATATAATCACATAGTTTTGAACTCCGTACCTATTTTCCAAAAATTTCCAGGATCTTCCAAACTTCGCTCTGGGCCCAAAATTGGCCATTTTTAACATCTCATATCTCCGGTGAGGAAGCTCCAAAAATTTTTAAACTCATAGAAAATAATGCTCTATTCTAGAGTAACATTGAGTTAAAATTACAACTTTGATATTCAACTAATAGCTAAGTTTTTACAATGCGAAAAGACGCGTTTTTGGCTGAAATGGAGGTTTGCGTTATCTCCCATATATAGATAACTATTGAAGCTAGAGACTCCAATAAGAATCCAATTTGTTCCTCATGATATGGATTACAAATTATGTCATTACAAGGTTTTACTCAACTTGCTTCCTTTAGGTGTAATTTAGCTTGAAACTTACCAATCGATTTTGGGAAAAACGCTATTTTTGACCTTCAGAAACCAATGGGAGGGGGGAAGTATCAGATCTGTGGTTTCTACCCTTTGTTGTTTCCTACATGAGGAATATAATCACATAGTTTTGAACCCCATACCTATTTTCCAGGGGTTTTCAAACTTTGCTCTGGGCCCAAAATCGACCATTTTTAACATCTCACATCTCTGGTGAACCTCTGAAAAAACTGAAATTAATAGCAAATAATGCTTTATTCTAGAGTAACTTGGATTTAAAATTACAACTATGATATTCAACTAAGAGTGAAGTTGTGGGCACTTTGAATTTTACAGATTTTGCAGACTCCTTTATGCCTTAATCATGGCAATAAACTGGAATATATTCATGAATGTTTCCTGAACTTCTTAATAACATGATAAGAGTTTAAAAACGTACCAAAAAAGATAAAGATATATTATATGAAACACTTCACATTAATATTTATAACTCAAATTGTCAGGCAAAACATTAAACAAGATGTTATATTAAAGAAATGAAAATGACACACAGGCAACCCTCAATAGATTATTCACCTCATCTGCCTCATCAGCAGATGTTTCCATCCAGTGGTCCTGATGTTCGGTTCCCTCAACAGCCACTACACCAGTGTTAAGAGCCTGCCACACCATCAACACCACTATTAGCATGGTGCTCAACATATGAGGACCACTTCTCTGTCCCTTCTACCGGTTCTGGTTCCTCCATCTCTGTGTCCAGCAACTCCAATGTCAACTTATAGTCATGCTTGCACTGCAATACAGTACACACATGTACAATAGCTGCCTCAAGTACCACAGTTCAACCATCATTTAAACACAAAACCAAAGAAGAAAGTAAATCAAATTTGTATGCTTACCACATAAATTTTAAAACAATTCTCATCTGCCAGGGCCTGCTCTGCACGCCGCTGCTACGCCAGCTCGGCAGCTGCCCTCTTGTGGGCTGTACTACATAGACCACCTGCACTGCCTCGATGCTGCTGCTGCCTGCTGTAGTTAACTCCATGCACTCCTGACACAAGATACTGCAGCTGCAAACGTTACGAAGCACACCACAGCTGAATATTCGTGACATCTTCCAGCTTCATGATTAAACAGATTATTTTATGGCAAGCACCAATAGGAAATTATACCTTTAAAACATATCATGGAGAAAGATAAGTGTCTGCAGCTTACTGTTTAACTTCTTCAAAATACAGAAGTAGAAGTTATTACAGAATAAGGAAGACTACAAGCACCTCCCCCACTTTTCAAATATTTTTGGTAAAGATAACAGAAAAGTAACTGGAACCTGCTTGTGATAGTGGAAGACTACATTGGCTACTTATGAAAAGCAAGAAAACTCCTCATAACACATAAGTTACTAAAACAGGTTATGAACATTTATCACCATACTACCTGAAGGTTAATTTACTGATTATGAGATGACTGTAAATTGTAGACCAGAGCATAGAGAAGAATAAAAGCATTGCAATTCTCGAAGTCAATGTCTAGTTCTCTGGATAATATGTGAAGTAGTTATTTTTTTCTGAGTGACAAAACAACAAAGACAACCTTCTCCACAGTGTTCTTACTCACACCACTCAAAAAAAAATTACATGGACAGTAACACATTTCACAGATTGGGAAAAGGTTGTACAGCAGGAACAATGAGTAAGGATTGTTCCCAAAGAAGCTACACTAAGAAACCAAGTGGAAGCTCAAAGAAAAATGATCTGCAATATATGCAGTAACTGTAAACAATGCTCCCAGATCTCATAATCTATGCACACAAGGGGCAACCCTGTCCCTGCTAGATCCAGGGCTCTAGCCCTCCCTGGCAAGATATACTAACCACCAAGGATCCAGCTTAACCTTTATCAGACTAATGTCACCATACGGCGTCATTTAAAGTACAGCCGAGTGGCCATGCGTCACCATATGGGTACCCGAAATCCACGCATGCACATAGTGTTTTAAAATCTTATTTTAAGATAGAAATTCTTGTTCTACTTACACTATTTTTGGACACCAGCTTTATAAGTAGACTGTCTTCCCTCCTGCATCATCTAACTGAATGTTGCATGTCACTGAATGCAGAGTCCAACGTTGCAATTCATGCACTTTGTCCGTAATTAACCCTGTTTTCCACGCAAAGCGTGCAAACGCAATGTTAGTCTCGTATTAGCAGGAAGTAGGCCAGTGATGGCGAATGGTCTCCTCTATTCATAACGCTTATAAAACATCGCAATTTCAACTATGCACCATGGCCCCTTTTCGCATTGATGCAGTCCAAATAGAGAAGCCGCTTGTAAATCAAACCATTCAGGATGCAGTACATAAGACTGAAAGCACATAGAAGGGGCCATGTGCAGGGCTTTCTACATTATTTTTGGCCACCAGCTTTATAAGTAGACTGTCTTCCCTCCTGCATCATCTAACTGAATTTTTCATGTAACTGAATGCAGAGTCCGACATCGCAATTCATGCACTTTGTCCGTATGTCATTCTGTTTTCCACGCGAAGCGCACACAGTAACATCTGTCTCGTATTAGCAGGAAGTCAGCCAATGTTGCTGATTTGCCTTCTCTAATCATAACGCTTATAAAACATTGCAATTTCAACTATCCACCATGGCCCCATTTCGCATGGAAAAAGGCAAAGTTAATAGGCAGCTGATAAATGTCACCAATTTAGAATGTGGTACATAAGACTGAAAGTACGTAGAACAAGGGGCCAAGTGCAGGCCTTTCTAAGAAGCTTAACACATTGCGGACCGGTGGTTAAATCACCCTGTGGACAGGCGTTTTTAAACCTACTACCCTAAC